GAAGATTCTAGAAGCCAAGCAGTATGGATACCTTTTCTGCCTTATCAAGTTAACAATGGCAAACTTATAAGTTATTATGAATAGAAGAATCTTGTGCTGTAATTGTAACATACTGCTGTGCATGGGTGACACAAAGTAGGAGTCCATAAAATACTAGTTCCTTCACCACGTTCCTCCTAATTGGTAAAGACATTACTTATTTTAAAGAGAACAACAGAAGACTGAACACGGAGTATATTTTTAAAAATGCCCTTTGTTTTGGTAAATTTGTTTATGATACTGGCCATTTTGTAAGAAAATGCACTTCCTTGTTGATGCTTGCAGTAATTCTCTCCACAACAACAGCACAGACTATACACACACGGTAACTTTAGAGTAGAAACATATCAATCACAATTTGTACATATAATTTTGGAAGGCATAGTGTGCTATACACTGTCTTCCAAGAATGTGTTTGTTTTGCAAGGAAATAAAATTTAACTCTGCATTAAATGTTACCAAATATATATACATATGTATATATATCACCACTGTGTTCGACCTGTGTTTGACAAACCCTTGTAAATATGGGCTTTGACATGTATAAATTTGACAATTCTTAGTCATTTAGAATCTTAATCCCTATTCCAAAGGATTCTTTTATACAACTAAAACCAGGCTCTCATTTTCTTTGTATAACTCCCTCCTAACTTTCATCCCCCAGTTTTAACTTTGGGTCATATCAGACCAGGTTATTAATTTTCTTCCCCAGTTATCCCATCACACACTGGAAGGTACATAAATTCTAACCAGTGTCTAATACTATCCTCAGAGTCCATGTCATGGGACTAACTTATAACGAGATCTTTTTGGCTTCTCCAGTAAAACTAAACCTTCTTGGATAATATCCTGTGGGTGTCCGGCACATCTGCCGGGGGGCTTCTGACCAGTGGAGAGCCTCAGCCCCACTTAAGTGTTCTTAACCTGGAAGAGGGAGTGCACGGAAGAAAAGATAGATAGATAGAGAGTGGGGTCTGGAGGACTGCCAGGCAATGCCGGAGCAATAAGTGCCAAGACAGCAAGTTTATTTGTGCAAACTACAGGTTATATACCTTTCAGTGTCTGAGGAGTGACGTACATTCCATTGTATCTTGAAATAAAATCAAGAACAAAAAATCACAAGAAAAGGGGTACAGAAAGTATGACTCTTAATCAAAGGGTATACAGCAAAGGGACAATAAAGTTTGCAAAAAGGGGACCATAAATCTAAACATGTGTTTTTCTAAAATCAGTTAAGCAAGCAATTAAGATTGTTAACAAGGTATAGCTGGACCTTTCCAAATGTCATTCTAACCTTGCCTACTCATATAGAATCATATGCAAACAATATGACTGAGTTAGCAGAGGTAAACAAAGTCATACAGTTATTGTGCAGAGAAGGAACTGGGAAGCACACAATATCTAACCATACAATGTCTCATTAGACCACAAGGCCTGAGCTCAGCCATTCTGTTGCAAATGTCAGAGGCAAAGATTGATGTTTATAAAATCAGTGCAACCAGACTTCCTCCTTTCCCTCAGCTCAAAAGCCTCCAGGAGAGGAGAAAGGTGTATGGGCTCAAGCTCAAGATGGCGAGGGTCCTGTCAAGGGCCCTTCGCAGGAGCGATCCCCACAATATCCAAGATACATCTGTCGTAAATCAAATTATGCTCTACAGAATGTGGCAAGGTGAATGTAGACAAGAGTAAATACATCTCTGGCTTCAGCAAAACAGTAACTTTAATTAAATGCTAATTTGTTACCTGTAATACTATGTAGTTTTAAAAGAGATTTCAAATATATTATCTCATTCTTTACAGCTGTCCTGTGTGATAGGTAGAATGGAAATTATATTCATATTTTACCCTTGGGTAAACAAAAACTCGAAAACAATAGCAAACTGTCTCAGGTTAGACACCTCCAAAGAATTAAAGTTGGTTTCAAGTTGAGGATTTCTGACTCTTATTCCAGAGCTCTTCTTATCACACATTATGTCTAAGTGAGAAATCTGAAGAGAAGTTGCTCATAAATATGTGGGTGAAATATAAAATATTTTCTTTGGGAACAAATATATAGAGAAATCTTGGAATCATTCTTTGTTTAGAAATACAAGATTTTCCTGCAACTGTCAAACCAAGTTCCATTTTGCCAAGAGCACATTCTGCATTTTTTTGGGAACAATACTTTTTTAGGACTATCAAACACACCAAAAATTGGTACTAATGAAAGAAAACTTGTCCAGTCAGATATTAAGCAATATTATAAGATAAACAGTAACTTTTAAAATGTGGTACTGGTGCACAGTGAGCATGGAGCAGTTCAAAAGCACACTCAAATATGTTAAAGAACTTTTATATGCTCCAAAAGAAATAGAGGTGGAAATGTTAAATTCCTCAAAAAATGGTGTTCGAAAGAATATCCATCTTTTTTATTCATCTCACAACAGGGATTGAAATATATTCCCAGTGGATGAAAGAATTAAATACAAATAAAATGCATAGGTAAGTATTAAAAAATTGGGAATCCTAGATATGATTGCCCTAGTCGTGTGCAGCTGCACAACAGCACACCCACCTAGGTGAGAGGGTTTTTTTTAATGTAAAAGAGTATTTTGATTCTTGTCCTTGGAAACTACAAAGTTTACACATGACTTGGAAAAGAGACTGTACCAAATGATGGCCAAAGAAGAATCATCTACTCTACTCCTCTTTTGTCTGGTCACTCAGAAATATATTATCAGCTGTGATTGTTGTTGCTTGTCATCTCACATTATTTTTATCCATGTATTCACCATAATCTACTTCCTCTTTCACATAAATTGGAGACCCCTTTTTCACATACGGATATACCACATCTCTGAGGCCTGGCCGGAATACTGATATTCTATGCCATGTTGTCTTTTGACTGACACAGTCCATTTGGTAAATTTCACTGTCACCTGATCACCACATCTCATCTGTTGCTAGAGAAAATATTGTGACTGGAATTTTTCCTTCCACCTGTCTCAAGACAGGGTCCTGACCTACTTGCCCAAGTAACTGCACACAATTCTGGGATCTTTCAAAAACCAAACTGGTAGTTATTTCAGACACATGTCTTACAAACTGCTGAAGCACCTAAGAGGTGCTGCCAAGTATTTTCAAAATCCAGCTCTCATTAGTTCTAATACAGGTCTTCAAAGTACAGCTTCTCTTTTCTTACAGTCTGCTCTTTAGGCTCTTGACATCACTGCCTCCCGACCCACCCAGGACTGTGCACAGCCAAAACATAGGTTCCAGCATTTCCCTTGCATCCATCCTCCCTGCCTCCCTCACCTGGTTGGGAAATAATTTTTTAAATGGGAAAGCTATATAAAAATTACATGAGATTCATATATTTGACTATATCAACACAGCTGAATATCATACATCAAACTTTAAAAAATTAAGACATAGATTAACTGGTAAAAACATTTGCAATAAATAGTATGTCCTCACAGGATTTGTGTATGAATTCATGTATGTGTAATAACCAACTCCTAAATCCCCAGAAATACCATTCATTGCTTCTGTAAATTAGGGTGATGTTAAAAGGTATAATAAAAATATCCCAAATTGTAAAATGGCTCAAACATAATATAAACAAGCATTTGTAAACTTTTTATACTAGGGCCACTTTAGCAGTCTGGTGAAGCTTAGAACCCCTTCTCAAAATAAGTTTTGATTTCTTTTTATTTTATATATTTTTTATTTTTATAGATTTAAGGGGTACAAATGCAATTTTGTTACATGGATACCTTGTGTGGTGGTAAAGTCTTGGTTTTTTTGAAAAGCATAACCCAAATAGTATACATTGTACCTGCTAAATAATTTCTCATCCATCATTCCCCTCCCACTCTCCCGCCTTTCTGAGTCTCCAACCTTTATTATTTCACTCTGTATGTTCATGTGTGCACATTATCAAAATAATGTTTTTAAACACATTAATATTTTTGTTTCAAAAGAAACTAATATGTTGAAATGCAGTGCTAAAATATTAAAATGATTTATGATATAATAATAGATATTCTTCTTTATTAAAACACCAAATAACTAAATATACCAGAAGGTTTATTACTACTATATTTTTTGAATCTTTAATAAAATTTCACATATTTGCTACAAGTGTAGTGTGATACAAAAATACTTTTCATAGGTACTCCTAATACTGGTTTGTTCCCTATACTCATAACAGAAGAAAATGCTAAACTGACATAAGAAAGACAGTGAAAATCATATTTTTCCCATTCCAAGTTCACAGACCCCCTGAATTCAATCTATAGACCCCTTGGAGATCTATGGGCCTCAAATTAGAAGCTAATGTAATAGAAGTTTACTTCTTGCTCATATAATATTATTTCATGGAAGGCAAGATAGTAGGATTCAGGCGAAAGAGCTCTCAGGGGCTGATCCAGGGACCAGCTGAAGGAGGCTTGCTTTGTTCAATATGCAGTTTCCAAAGTCATCATCATTATTCCCATCCCAGCTAGATAAAAGAGGAGAAGAATATAGAGAGATATATGTGAGAGAATTTGGGGAACCTGGAAATGATGTATATCGTGTCTATTCCTAGTCTGCTGATTACAACTCAGCAGTGACATGAACATACTTATCTGCAAGGACAGACAAGAAATATAGATAAACAGTATCCCCAAGAAGACGAGACGCTGGGCTTTGATGACTAGGTAATAGTCTGCCAAGCCACCCATCATAATAGCAATTGTATTTCTTTTTTTTTTTTAATTGTAATCTAGGTTCTGGGGTACATGTGCAGATCATGCAGGATTGTTGCACAGGTACATACATAGCAAGGTGGTTTGCTGCCTTCATCCCCCTATCACCTACATCTGGTATTTCTCCCCTCATTATCCCTCCCCACCCTCCACACTCCCGCTGTCCCTCTGCTGGCCTCCCAATAGTGACCGCAGTGTGCGATGCTCCCCTCCCTGTGTCCACGTGTTCTAATTGTTCAACACTCACCTATGAGTGACACCATATGGTGTTTGGTTTTCTGTTCTTGTGTTAGTTTGCTGAAAACGATGGTTTCCAAATTCATCCATGTCCCTATAAAGGACACAAATGGTTTTTTATGGCTGCGTAGTATTCCATGGTATATATGTACCACATTTTCTTTATCCAGTCTATTGATGATGGACATTTGGGTTGGTTCCAGGTATTTGCTATTGCAAACAGTGCCACAATGAACATACATGTTCATGTGTCTTTATAATAGAACAATTTACACTTATTTGGGTATATAGTCAGTAATGGAGTTGCTGGATCAAGTGGTATTTCTATTTCTAGGTCCTTGAGGAATTGCCACCTTGTCTTCCACAATGATCAAACTAAGTTACACTCCCACCAACAGTGTAAAAGTGTTTGTTTTTCTCCACATCCTCTCCAGCATCTGTTTTCTCCATATTTTTTAATGATTGCCATTCTAACTGGTGTGAGATGGTATCTTAATGTGGTTTTGATTTGCATTTCTCTAATGACCAGTGATGATGAGCATTTTTTCATATGTTTATTGGCCTCATCGATGTCTTTTATAAGTGCCTGTTCATATCCTTCAATCACTTTTGAATGTGTTTGTTTGTTTTTTTCTTGTAAATCTGTTTTAGTTCTTTATAGATTCTGGTTATTAGCCCTTTCTCAGATGGGTAGAGTGCAAAAATTTTTTCCCATTCTGTTGGTTGCCAGTTCACTCCAATGATAGTTTCTTTCACTTTACAGAGCTCTGGACTTTAATTATATCCCATTTGTCTATTTTGGCTTTTGTTGTCATTGCTTTTGATGTTTTAGTCATGAAGTCCTTGCCTATGCCTATATCCTGAATGGTTTTGCCTAGGTTTCCTTCTAAGGTTTTTATGATGTTAGGTCTTATGTTTAGATCTTTAATCCATCTGGAGTTCATTTTAGTGTAAGGTGTCAGAAAGGGGTCCAGTTTCTGCTTTCTGCACATGGCTAGCCAGTTTTTCCAACACCATTTATCAAACAGGGAATCCTTTCCCCATTGCTTGTTTTTTCAGGTTTGTCAAAGATCAGATGATTGTAGATGTGTAGTACTGCTTCTGAGGCCTCTGTTCTGTTCCATTGGTCTGTCTGTTTTAGTACCAGTAACATGCTGTTTTGATTACTGTAGCCTTGTAGTATAGTTTGAAGTCAGACAGCCTGTTGCCTCCGGCTTTGTTCTTTTTGCTTAGGATTTTTTTGGCTATGCAGGCTCTCTTTTGGTTACATATGAAGTTTGAAGTGGTTTTATCCAGTTCTGGGAAGAAGGTCATTGGTAGCTTGATGGGGATAGCATTGAATCTATAAATTACTTTGGACAGTATGGCAATTTTCATGATGTTGATTCTTCCAAACGATGAGCATGGAATATTTTTCCATCTGTTTGTGTCCTCTCTTATTTCATTGAGCAGTGTTTTGTAGTTCTCCTTGAAGAGTTCCTTTACATCCTTTGTTAGTTGTATTCCTGGGTATTTTATTCTCTTTGTAGCAATTGTGAATGGGAGTTCACTTTTGATTTTGGCTCTCTGTTTGTCTGTTATTTGTGTATAGAAATGCTTGTGATTTCTGAAAATTGATTTTGTATCCTGAGACTATGCTGAAGTTGATTATCAGTTTCAGGAGATTTTTGGCTGAGACAATAGGGTCTTCTCAATACACAATCATGTCATCTGCAAATAGAGGCAATTTGACTTCCTCTCTTCCTATTTGAATACCCTTTATTTCTTTCTCTTGCCTGATTGCCCTGGCTAGAATTTCCAATACTATATTGAAGAGGAGTGGTGAGAGAGGGCACCCTTGTCTAGTGCCAGATTTCAAAGGGAATGCTTCCAGTCTTTGCTTGTTCAGTATGATATTGGCTGTAGGTTTGTCATAAATACCTTTTATTATTTTGTGATACATACCATTGATGCCTAGTTTGTTGGGGGTTTTTAGCATAAAGGGCTGTTGAATTTTGTCAAAGGTCTTTTCTGCATCTATTGAGATAACCATATGGTTTTGTCTTTGGTTCTATTTATGTGGTGGATTACATTTGTAGACTTGCGTATGTTAAATAAGCCTTGCATCCCCTGGATGAAGCCTACTTGATCATGTTGAATAAGCTTTTTGATTTGCTGTTGCATTCTGTTTGCCAATATTTTATTGAAGATTTTTGTGTTGATGTTTATCATGCATATTGGCCTGAAGTTTTCTTTTTTAGTTGCATCTCTGCCCGGTTTTGGTATTAGGATGATGTTGGTCTCATAAAATAAGTTGGGGAGGATTCCTCCTTTTTGGATTGTTTGGAATAGTTTCAGAAAGAATGGTACCAGCTCCTCTTTGTAAGTCTGGTTGATTTCGGCTATAAACTCATCTGGACCTGGGCTTTTTTTAGTTGGTAGGCTATTAATTGCTGCCTTAACTTTAGCCCTTGTTATTGGTCTATTCAGGTATTCAACTTCTTCCTGGTTTAGTCTTGGGAGGGTAAAAGTGTCCAGGAATTTATCGATTTCTTCCAGATTTACTGGTTTATGTGCATAGAGTTGTTTGTAGTAATCTCTGATGGTAGTTTTTATTTCTGTGAAATCGGTGGTGATGTCCCCTTTATTATTTTTTATTGCATCTATTTGATGTTTCTCTCTTTTCTTTTCTTTATTAGTCTGGCTAGCAGTCTATCTATTTTGCTGATCTTTTCAAGAAACCAGCTCCTGGATTTGTTGATTTTTTGAAGGGTTTTTGTGTCTCTATCTCCTTCAGTTCTGCTCTGATCTTAGTAATTTCTTGTCTTCTGCTAGCTTTTGAATTTTTTTGATCTTGCTCCTCTAACTCTTTCAGTGTTGATGATAGGTATCAATTTTAAACTTTTCCTTGCTCCTCATGTGGGCATTTATTGCTAGGAATTTCCCTCTACACACTGCTTTGAATGTGTCCCAGAGATTCTGGTATGTTGTGTCCTCATTCTCATTGGTTTTGAAGAACATTTTTATCTCTGCCTTCATTTCATTATTTATTCAGTCTACATTCAGGAGCCAGGTGTTCATTTTGCATGAAGTTGTGCAATTTTGAGTCAGTTTCTTAATCCTGAGTTCTAATTGATTGCACTGTGGTCTGAGAGACTGTTTGTTTTGATTTCCATTCTTTTGCATTTGCTGAGGAGTTATTTACTTCCAATTATGTGGTTGATTTTAGAGTAAGAGCCATGTGGTAATAAGCAGAATGTATATTCTGTGGATTTAGGGTTAAGAGTTCTGTAAATGTCTATTAAGTTCACTTGGTCCAGATCTGCATTCAAGTCCTGGATTTCCTTGTTGATTTTCTATCTCATTGATCTGTCTGATACTGACAGTAGAGTGTTAAAGTCTCCCACTATTATTGTGTTGGAGTCTAAGTCTCTTTGTAGGTCATTAAGGACTTGCCTTATGTATCTAGGTGCTCCTGCATTGGGTGCTTATATATTTAGGATCATTAGTTCTTCTTGTTGTATTGATTCTTTTACCATTATGTAATGCCCTATTTTGTCTCTTTTGATTCTTGTTGGTTTAAAATCCATTTTATCAGAGACTAGGATTGCCACTCCTGCTTTTTTTTTTTTTTTTTTTTGCTTCCATTTGCTTGGTAAATCTTCTCCCATTCCTTATTTTGAGTCTATGTGTGTCTTTGCATATGAGATGGGTTTCCTGAATACAGCACACTGATGGTTCTTGGCTTTTTATCCAATTTGCCAGCCTGTGTCTTTTGATTGGGGTATTTAACCCATTTACATTTAATGTTAATATTGTTATGTGTGAATTTGATTCTTCTATTTTATTACTGGTTGGTTGGTTTGCCCTTTGGTTGGCATAATTTCTTCATTGCATTGTTGGTCTTTACCTCTTGGTTCTTTTTATGCCATGGCTGGTATTGATTTTTCCTTTCTGTATTTAGTGTTTCCTTCAGGAGCTCTTGCAGGGCAGGTCTTGTAGTGACAAAAGCCCTCAGCAATTGCTTGTCCAAAGGATTTCATTCCTCCTTCACTTATGAAGCTTAGTTTGGCTGAATATGAAATTCTAGGTTGAAAGTTCTTTTCTTTAAGGATGTTGAATATTGGCCCTGACTCTTCTGGCTTGTAGGGTTTCTGCAGAGAGATCCACTGTGAGTCTGATGGGCTTCCCTTTGTGGGTGACCTGACCTTTCTCTCTAGCTGCCCTTACCATTTTTTTCTGTCATTTCAACCCTGGTGTAGCTGACGATTATGTGCCTTGGGGTTGCTCTTCTAGAGGAGTATTATTGTGATGTTCTCTGTATTTTCTGTATTTGAATGTTGGCTTGCCTTGCTATGTTGGGGAAGTTCTCCTGGATAATATCCTGAAGAGTGTTTTCCAGCTTGGATTCATTCTCCCCATTATCTTCCAGGACACAAATCAGGCATAGATTAGGTCTTTTCACATAATCCCATATTTCTTGAAGTCTTTGTTCATTTCTTTTCACTCTTTTTGTCTTTTCTTGCCTTCGCATTTTGTTTCATTGATTTGATCTTCAATCTCTGATATCCTTTCTTCTGCTTGATCTACTTGGCTACTGAAACTTCTGTATACTTCATGAAGTTGTCATGCTGTGTTTTTCAGCTCCATCAAGTCATTTATATTCTTCTCTAAGCTGGTTATTCTACTTAGCATTTCATCTAACCTTTTATCAAGGTTTTTAGTTTCTCTGCCTTGGGATAGAAATCTTTCTTTAACTCCGAGAAGTTTGTTATTAACCACCTTCCAAAGCCTGCTTCTGTCAATTTGTCAAATTCGTTCTCCATCCTGCTTTGTTCCTTTGCTGGTGAGGAGTCATAAACTCATGGTGGGGGAGAGACTTTCTGGTTTTTGATAGTTTCATTCCTCTTGCACTCGTTTCTCCCCATCTCTTCGATTTATATAGTTTTGATCTCAGATAGCTGTTTAGGGAGGCAGCCTTTCCTTTGTCTGCCTGTGGAGGCACTGCTTGGCTGCCACAGATTCAGTGGACCTGCAGCATCTTTTATTTACTCAGGAAAATTAGGCTGGTTTCTGTAATGGTGGCTTCCCTTCTGCCCCCCGAGCTGGAGCATTCCTGGTTACTTCTTAACTGACGTTCTGGGTGCCTTACTCTGGAGTGAGAGTTTTTTGGCCTGCTGGGCTTTGTGCAGCAGTGGGAGGGCCCATCCTATCATTTGGGCTGTTTCCCTGTGTTCCATTCCCCTTCTTACTGGGGGGCGGGTAGCTCTGTCCCACTGGCTTTTTTACTTTCTCAGTATCAGCCAGTGCTTCTGCCTAGATCTATACTGACTGCCCCAGTGCCAAACTTGCTGTTTTGTCCTGTTCAGGCAGCTCACTAAGGCTTTTCAGCCTGGTGAAGATGTGTTCTGCAGGTTGTAGAGGGCTTGGGTAGAGCACTGTATCCAAACCAAAGTCCCAGAGGTGGTGATCCCCTGGTCCTCTGGTAGGTTGCATGCTCCTCCTGGGTGGGGCAGTGCCCCACCTTGCTGCAACTTGCCCTATTTGGTTTATACCCACTGTCTGACCAGACCCACAAAATGAACCTGGTACCTCGTTTGGAATTGTGAGACCACTCGGCTTCTGCATCTCTCTCCCTGGGGGCTGCTTTCTGGAGCTGCCTTTTATTGGGCCATCTTGGGATCCCCCCAGCAATTGTATTTCTAATGACTATCCTCAACAAGGTAAAGTTTAGAATGAAGAAATAGGAATTGTTGTGGAAATAAATTGTGTAAAACAAAAATGCATTTTGAAGAGAAAACCATCAAGAAGAATCGACTAGTTTAAAAAAAATGTTCAGCCACCTTGATCCATTACTTTAATTCCTATTAATTTCTAAGAATATAATACAAACTGAAGGAAAATTTACATACAAATCAGTCCCAGAAGCATTATCTTAAAAATACAATTATTTATTATTAATCGTAAGAAATATAAAATAACCAAAAATTCAATTAGCATTGACAATGAAATTGAGGCATGATCATGTGATAGACTATCATGTTTATAAGAGCTTTCATATGTAATAGCTGAAATTTCTTGAATGCTTATTATATGTTAGGTATTGTGCTTACTGCTTTACATACATGCCCTATGTCCTCTCAACAACCCCATGAGACACTCTAACCCATCTCAAATATGAAGAAACTGAATCTCAGCAAAACTAAGTGCTTTTCTGAGAAATAAAAAGCTCTGATAAATCTTGGCTGATTGCCCACCTAGAGTCTGTTCTCTCTTCTTGATAAAATCCTAATCTTGTGGGAAGTGCAGTGTGTGTTGGGGGCGGGGGGTGGAAATGTGCTCAGTTAAAAATACTGCACCTCCAGGCTAACACAATTGAGGCTGTTTATGTGCCCAACCATGGCCAATGCAATTTAAGAAGGAATTGCCATTATATAGGAAGATTTATCTGGCATGAGCCTGTTCAGACTTCTGGCCTTCATCTTTTCACTCTTCTTCTCCTAAAGGAAAACTGTAGGGACGCAACACACTCAGCATACCTGGAGGCAGTTGACAACAAAGGTAACAGTTTGGGCTTGTATGCACTGACTTCAGAGTCCCTCCTCTGAGCTCAGCATGAAATGATCAGAGAAATTCGTAACCCACAGCTTCTCCCTAGGGAGAGAAAGGGAAGACTGAACATAAATCTAAAGTTGAGACATTTTTGGGAGGAGCCTGAGGACTGAATTTTTGTCTCTCCTGTCTTAGAGCTCTGATGAGACACAGCATACTGGGAATAAAAAATAAAAATAGTTGGAGTACTAAACACTGGGGTCTATTGGGGGGAAAATGGGAGGGCCAGTGGGAGGGGGAGGTGGGGAGGGATAGCCTGGGGAGAAATGCCAAATGTGGGTGAAGGGGAGAAAGGAAGCAAAACACACTGCCATGTGTGTACCTACGCAACTGTCTTGCATGTTCTGCTCATGTACCCCAAAACCTAAAATGCAATAAAAAATTAAAAAAAAAAATAGTTGGATAGTGTGTTGCTGCTCCAGAGGACATACTACTCTGGAGATATCAGAGGAAACATGATATCATAAACTCCTGAAACAGAAACTAGAAAATCCCTTTAAATAGAGATTTACAGGTACTTGTCTAGAGAAGTCACATCCACAAAAATATTTTGAGAGCCCCCTAAAATCTTTAGCGGGTTGACTGGTGGAGATCTCCTGTAGGAAGCCAATCTAGAAACATTGGAAGAGGTGGCTCTTTTTTCCAAATGTTTAGACACCAATACAAAATGTCAAGCACAAAGAAACAAGAAAATATAGAGCAAACAAATATAAGTAAATCTGCAGAAACCAGTGCTAAAGAAACAGAGGTATATGAGTTATACCTCTACAAACTCTATACCTAACAAAGAGTTCAAAATAACCATTATAAAAATGCTCAACAAGTATTGGAAACAATACATAAACAAAAGGAGTATTTCAATAAAGAGATAGAAAATATGTATTGTTTTAAAAAACAAAAAAAGTGAAAATGTATCCAATAACTGAAATAAAAAATTTCCTAAAAAGGTTCAACAGCTGACTTGATCAAGCAAAAGTACAAGCGAAGTTCAAGACAGGCCATTTAAAATTATCCAGTCTGAGGAACAAACAGAAAAAATTTTTTTAAAAGAGAAGAAAGCTCCAGGGACTTATGGGAAACAGTGATGTGAACTGATAAACACATGATAGTAGTCCCAAAAGGAGCAGAGAGAGAAAAAGAATCTTATTTTTTAAATAATGGAATTCCCCTACCTGCTGCCTTCTGAAGAAGGTGACTTGCTTCCCCTTCACCTTCTGTCATGATTGCAATTTCCTGAGTCCTCCCCAGCCATGCTGAACTGATGCTGAGGCTGCAATATCATTAACATGCAAGGATGAGAGGAATGAAGCACCCCATCTTGTAAAGACTGTGGCTTATAGGCACAGGCAAAGATTTTATGACCAAAATCTCAAAAACAACTCCAACAAAAATAAAAATTGACAAATGGGATCTAATTAAACTAAAGAGGTTCTGCACAGAAAGAGAAACTATCATCAGGGTGAACGGACAACCGATAAAATGAGAGAAAGTTTTGCAATCTATTCATCTGATAAAGATCTAATATCCAGAATATACAAGGAACTTAAGCAAATTTACATTAAAAAACAGGTGACCCCATTAAAAAGTGGGCAAAGAACATGAACAGACACATTTCAAAAGAATACATACATGCACCAACAAACATGAAAAAAAGATCAATATCACTGGTCATTAGAGAAATGCAAATTAAAACCACAATGAGACACCATCTCATGCTGGTCAGAGTGGTGATTATTAAAAAGTCAAATAAGACCCGATGCTGGCCAGACTGCAGAGAAATAAGAACGTTTTTACACTGTTGGTGGGAATGCAAATTAGTTCAACCATTGTGGAAGATAATATGACAATTCCTCAATGCTCTGGAACCAGAAATACCATTTGATCCAGCAATCACATTACTGGGTAGATACCAAAAGGAATAGAAATTACTCTATTATAAAAGGATACATGCACACATTATGTTCATTGTAGCACTCTTCACAACAGCAAAGATATGGAATCAACTCAAATGCCCATCAATAATAGATTGGATAAAGAACCTGTGGTGTGTATATACCAAGGAATACTATGCAGCCATAAATAGGAACAAGATCACGTTCTTTACAGGGATATGGATGGAGCTGGAAGCCATTATTCTCACCAAACTAATGCAGGAACAGAAAACCAAACACTGCACATTCTTGCTTATCAGTGGGAATTGAACAATGTGAACAAACAGAGGAGAACAACACACACTGGGGCCTGTTGGAAGGGGCTGAGAAGAGGGAGAGCATCATGAAAAATAGCTAATCCATGCTGGGCTGAATACCTAGGTGACAGGTTGATAGATGCAGCAAATCACTACAAAATAATCATTGAAACACCAAGGAAGACAATGAAAGAGAGACAAAAAAAAGAGTTTAAAAAATAGACAAAAGAATAAAATGGCAATAATAAATCCTTCCATATCAATATTTCTAAATGTAAATAGATTAATTCCCCATCAAAAGACACAGAGTGGCTGAATGGATACAAGAAAACTCAACATTTTACTTTCTACGAGAGAATAATTTTAGATTTAAAGACACAGACTGAATGTTAAAAGATGGAGAAAAGTTATTCCATGAAAATAGTAACCCAAAAGCAGGGATGGCCATGTTTGTATCAGACCAAAGAGACTTAAGTAATAAACTGCCACAAGAAATAAAGATGGACATTATATAATTATAAAATGGTTAGCTTGCCAGGAAGATAAAACAGTTATAAAGCATATGCATCTGTAATCAAGGTACCTAAATATACAAAGTAAAGATTGACATAACTGAAGGGAGAAATGGCAATACAATAGTATTAGAATAATTCAGTACCCATACTTTCAATAAAGGATAGAATATCCAGACAGATAATTAATAATGAGACAGCAAATCTGAACAATAACATAGATCAAATGAACATAACAGACATATACAGAACATATCATCCAACAGCAGCAGAATGCACATTCTTCTCAGCCATCCCTGGAACATTCTTTCTTTCTTTCTTTTTTGTTTTTAGATGGAGTTTTGCTTTTGTTGCCCAGGCGGAGTGCAGTGGCATGATCTCGGCTCACTACAACTTCTGCCTCCCAGGTTCAAGCGATTCTCCTGCCTCAGCCTCCCGAGTAGCTGGGATTACAGACATGCACCACCATGCCCCGGCTAGTTTTGTATTTTCACCATGTTGGACAGGCTGGTTCCAAACTCCCGACCTCAAGTGATCCACCCACCTTGGCCTCCCAAAGTGCTGGGATTACAGGCATGAGCCACCACGCCCAGCTGGAACATTCTTTATGATAGATAATATGTTAGGCCACAAAATAAGTTAACAAATTTAATAAAATTGAAATCATACAGAGTACTTTTGTGACCACAAAGGAATGAAACTAGAAATCAATAGAAGAAAGAAAACTGGAAAATTTTTATTAATAGGTGGAAAGTATAAAACATATTCTTGAACATCCAACAGATCAAAGCAGAAATCAAAAGCGAAATCAGAAAATATCTTGAGAAAAACAAAAATGAAACACAACATACCAAAACCTATGAAATGCAGCAAAAGCAATACTTAGAACTTTATAGCAGTAAACCCTTACATTAAAAAAAAAAAAGATACCGGCCGGGCGCGGTGGCTCACACCTGTAATCCCAGCACTTTGGGACGCCCAGGTGGGTGGATCACGAGGTCAAGAGATCGAGACCATCCTGGTCAACATGGTGAAACCCCGTCTCTACTAAAAATACAAAAAATTAGCTGGGCATGGTGGTGCATGTCTGTAATCCCAGCTACTCAGGAGGCTGAGGCAGGAGAATTGCCTGAACCCAGGAGGCAGAGGTTGTGGTGAGCCGAGATTGCACCATTGCACTCCAGCCTGGGTAACAAGAGCGAAACTCCGTCTCAAAAAAAAAAAAAAAAAATCAAATAAACAACCTAATTTTATACCTTAATGACTGCAAAATTTAGTAGAAGGGGAAAAATAATGAAGATAAGAGTAGAAATAAACAAAATGGGAAATGAAAAACAGTAGAAACTGTGTGATAAAACTGAGGATTTTTTTTAAAAAGATAAAATTGACAAAACTTTAGCCAGAAAGAGAAAAGAGTCAAATAAAACCAGAAATGAAAGAGGAGACATTACAGGACACCGGGCATGGTGGCATGTGTTTATAGTCCCAGCTACTTGGGTGGCTGAGGCATGGCATTGGGATTGCTTAAGCCCAGGAGTTCAAGACCAGCCTGAGCAACATAGTGAGACCTTGACTCAAAAAAATAAAAATAAAGTGAATTGAAAGAAGAGACATTGCAACTGATACTATAGAAATAAAAAGTGTCAAAAAGGCTACTATGACCAATTATATGCTAACCAATTAGATAACCTTGTTGTAGAATCTTAGAGACTAGAGAGACCATTGAGGTTGCAGAAGGAGTTTATTTTAGGTGTACACTGGCCCAGCTTGGTTTTTTGTAGAATGATTTATCTTTCTTTGAGCATATACCAAGTAACTGGGTTGCTGGGTTAAATGGTATTCTATTTTAGCCCTTTGAGAAATCTCCAAACTGCTTTCCACAGGGGCTGAACTAATTTGCATTTCCACTAACAGTGGATAAGTGTTCCCTTTTCTTCACAAGTGTGCCAATGTCTGTTATTTTTTTACTTTTTAGCAATGGTCATTCTGACTGGTCTTAATTGGTATCTCATTGTGGTTTTGATTTGCATCTCTAATGATTAATAATGTTGAACATTTGTTCATAGGTATGTTGGCCACTTGTATATCTTCTTTTTTTTTTTTTTAAGACGGGGTTTCACCATGTTGGTCAGGTTGGTCTTGAACTCCTGACCTCAGGTGGTCTGCCCTCCTTTTTGCCCATTTTTTAATTGGTTATTTGCTTTTTGCTTGATGATTTATCATTTGACCCAGCAACCCCATTACTGGGTATATACTTAAAGAAAAATAAATCATTCTATCAAAAGACACCAGCACTTGGATGTTCATTGCCATGCTATTCACAGTAACAAAGACATGGAATCAACCCAGGTATCTGTCAATGGTGGATTGGATAAGGAAAATGTGGTACATATACTACACAGATACTACACAGTCATGAAAAAGAATGCAATCTTGTCCTTTGCAGCAACATGGATGCAGCTGGAGGCAATTATCCCATGTGAACTAACATGGGAACAGAAAACCAAATATTACACTTATAAGTGGGAGCTAAATCTTGGGTTCACATGGACATAAAGATGAGAATAGTAGACACTGGGGACTCCAAAAGCACAGGGGGAAGGGCTGAAAACTTCCTATTGGGTAATATATTCATTGTCTGAGCAACAGGATCAACAGAAGCTCAAACCTCAGCAGAATGCAATATACCCATGTAACAAAACTGCACGTGTACCGTCTGAATAGTAATAAAGATAATGTTTTTCTGTCCCTTTGTTATGTAAATCTTCACCAAGCCCCTGCCCAGTTTTACAACCTAGGAATGTCTTTCTCATGGATCTGGGGGCCATGCCTTTGAAATATAATCATCAGAAAAAGATTGCACTCCTATCTCCCAGTCTCTGTGAGAAGATAGGGGCCTAACTTCTTCAATTAGCAAACTCAGATGGCCTAATCTCATTGATCAACCTCCTTCCTAACATCTTCCAGTATTTTTCTTCACAAACTTGCTAACTCCTCCTGTCTTGTTTCAGTGGAGTTGAGTTTAGTCTTTTTTCCCTATTGCAAAAGTCTTGAATAATGTCTTCTCTGCCTGTTTAATTCTGTCTGGTGCCCTTTTTCTTTGCCATTGAGGACATTTTAGGTGTATGTGTTATGCTGTGCAGGTTGAAAATGTGACCAGGTAACTAAGCTGCATGGATTAAATCCTGGTGACACTGTTTATCATATAGATGTGTTTGGGCAAGTATGGACCTCTCTGAGTCTCTGTTTCCTCATTTATTTAATAGAAATATTAACAGTATTTACCCTATTGAACTGTGAGAAATAATTGAGATATTCAATTATAGTGTTCAACCAGTTTAAGCTTGGCTAAATGAATGTTAGCTATTAAGAACTACCTCAGTAAACGTTACGTGTTAATTGTAGTCACAGCATAAAAAACATATTATTTGGTCTTGACTTTGGTCCAAGCCTTGATCATCTCTTTTTATGACTACTGGATGTTCGTGATTTTCTCTTCCAATCTGCAGCTTTGACTACTCCTTCTGATCAATCCTCAATACAGTTTTTTCCTCTAAAATACAGTTTCCA